CTTTTACTCCCTCTTCCGCGTGCTCGTAACTGCATTTTTTTCTTTCGGTCTCCTAATTTCATCTTTCTGCTTTCAGTAAAAACTTATAGAGACCTTACGTATCTAATATTTTAATTATTGTAAGTATATTAATAATGCTGACAAATATTGATCATTTTAATATTGATGTAAAATAAAATAGAAATTGATAGTGAGCCGAATTTCTTTATTCTGGAACATTAGTATCTTCTATATTGATGCTCGAGAATAAAAAATTCAGACCATCATTGATAATATTCTCATATTCATTACTATTGACAGAATTTTTGATCAGAATTATTGATTATTGAGCTCAAATATTGTCAGTACTAATCGTGTAAGATTGTAAAAATATTGATATATATTGCAGTCAAAGTTTCACTACAAATGCTTTAAAGCGTTTTTGTTGACCAATTAGAAAAAAGAATTTTCCAAATTGACCAATTCAAAAAATTGTTTTAAAGAATTTGTAACATTGCATTGATTGTATTGTTGATATTTTACTGATTCAATATTACTGATAGGTATTTTTCTTCTGCATACTACTTTGATTTCGTCCGAATTTTTCTGAGTGCATGCACGTGCTTTTATCTTCGTAAGCTTTACTTTAAACATAAGATATATTATGCAGCACTTTCAAAATTTAAGTGCAGTCCTAAATATTGTAGTAGAATATTATAGATTTTTAAAAAATAGAATTTTTCAACGAGAACATATTCTATGTCGAAATGATCATCAATATCTTTCTTCAATATAAAATAGCATGGCGATTATATTTCAAAGAAATAATTATTCCTTATAAAGGATAAAAAAATAAAATGTCTCAAAAAACATTTTGTCACTTGTAAAAAAATAAATAGTAGTAATTTTAAATAGTAATAATTTCTTTTTTTTTTTTAAAACGGATTATGTTTTTAATAAAAAAACAAAAGATATCTCGATATTTAAGTATTTTTGTTTTTATTATTTATTTATAAAATAAAGGACATTAAACAATGTAGAATAATATAGAACAATAACAATGTAAAACATATGTTACGTTTATTTTAATTATTTTGAAATGTACTTCAACTTACATTTTAAAATAATTAAAGTTCAATTTAAAATTAAATAATCATAAATGATAAATTAGTTCAAATTAATTTATTTCAAATTTCGAGTAATAGCGAAAGAATCTTAATTTTTTTTAATAACCATCTCTGGCAGGATTTTTATTTCGTTTGATACTAAACACTTTCTTTCAATAATACGTGTGGCACACAATATTTATCCTCCTTTATATTCCTCAAAAACTACCCTCAATTGCAGACGTGTGTTATCTTCCATTATCATTTCTCCCGGATAATCCTCATTTAAGTCGTTAAATGTATTTGCCAAGAAGTACATGAGATCTCTCTCTCTCTCATTGGTTAACCGAGAAAAATATTCAGGTTTATTCAATCAGATTTATTCAATTTTCAGTATTTTTTTCGAAATTTTCAGTGATTTTTTTTTGTAAACGTATATAATATCTAATAATATAAATATTGAGAAAAAAAAGAAAAAAAAGATATAAAAAATTTGATTGTACAAAGAAAATGAGTCAAAGATTTGTCCTTTTTCCATCTTTTCGGTATTTAATCATACATCCTATTTTAGTAAATATCTGTTCTTGTTTTCTAACTCTATTTTTTTAAAATTCTTAATTACAATACCAGAGCATATACGGTTAGTCCATTACTTCGTCAACTTTTATTATATTTAATTTTATGGAATTATTAGATTTAGTTTGTGATAAGTTTAATTAATATTAAAATATTGACACGCTTAAAAACCAGTGGACATGTGAATACAGGATATTCCAAAATTCATGACTCAAAATACTATAGCAAAATAGTTCTCCAAAAATTAAATAAAAAAGTTATTTTTAAATTTTTATTTTAAATAGTAATTTTCAAGATAATAAGAGTTTATATATGACCAATTACTATATTTAAATAGCCATATGAATCACGCATACAATAGTGAGTGCTGATGAGTAACATACTTTAACATATTAGATGGGAAAAAGTTCGTGGCGTTTTTTTAATGCTATCTAACGGGAAAAATGCCACGAACTTTTTCCCACACCTAATATTCACTAATATTCACAAGTGACTATCTAAACATAATTGTAGTAATATTTAAATCCTTCTATCTTACAATCAAAAAAAATTGCTTGATATAAAAATTTAACAATAACCGTTTTACTTATTTTTCAAAAACCTTGCTATTTTGAATTGCCAATTTTGAGATACCTCGTATATATACATAAATATGTGACGTTATTAGATTGGTCTTCCAATCTCCTACGAAAATTTGCTAAAATTTTGCCGCTCATAATATTTTCCGTATGTACATCATTGGATTCCCTAGCTTAGTGCGGCGCGTGCGCAAAAAAGCGGGCCCATGAGATTACGTATCGTTTCTTCGCAATACATTGCAAATGCTTAAGAATGCAAAAAACAGGCAAGAACGAGTTAAAAATAATAAAAATTTTTTATAAAAAAATTGTCAAAATTGTCAAAATAGCAATTAATCTAAACAAATGTTACAAATATTAATTAGTTCAATTTTAATGTATTTATATATAAGAAATTTTGTCAATATATGTCTGTTTAGCAATTTCAGTATCAAAAGATAAGAAAAATAATATTAATTACATAAATTATTTCTGAAAAATTTATATACTTTGAAAATTTATAAAATTAAGCATACTATTCTTTTAAAAATGAGATATTTCGACTTTTTGAATATTTTATATAGCTATAAAAAAATAAAGGAAAGTACACCTGCAAAAAAACAAGCTATTAAAATTTTAGCTCAAATTTTAATATTTTTCAATAGATTACTTAATGAAAGTTACAAAAATACGGACAACTTTTTTTTGTAAACTCATTATAGTTAATTATTCCTCAGAAATTAGCCTGAAGTTTGTAGACCTTGTAAAGATCTTGGCAACCATTCGTTTTCGGACCTTTAGGACTTTTTGACTTATTTTTTTGTTGTTCCATATGCCCTTAAAATGTAATAATTCTTTCTTGGGACACCCTTTATATGTACATATATATATATATATGTGCGTGTGTGTGTGTGTGTGTGCGTGTGTGTGTGTGTGTGTACACAAATACACACTGAATTTTTCCGTCATTACCCCCACCGTCACTGTGGTCGATTTCCAAACGTTTTTGATGAAACGAAATGGCGATGAAGTAGGTGAGTAAGACTAGGAAGCTGGTATATCCGGAGGGTTCACGTGACACCGATCCGTCCCCGCATCCGTTCTGGGTACAGTCCGTTGTATAGGTCATGAGGAGAACCCCGGATTGATAAGAGCTGTAAAACTTGTGTTCGTAAACGTTTCAAACTGAGGCTTTTTTAATTTGCGACGTCGAAGTCGCGATCTAAATTCCATGATTTATCCTAATTGATCTCATCCAATATTCTCTTTGTTTTTTCCATTTAACTTCCACTTAATATCCACTTAACTTTCAAAATTGATCGCTGTAATGTGCGTGAAGAAATTTACTTGTGTTGATTCTGGTTTAATTCTTTGTTCTGTTGATCAATCGCATCACGTTTCCTCAGAAATATAAAAGTGTGTCCAGACTATCGAAACTTTGGCCGAATCTTGAGCATTTCGATAAACATTTGTTAGCGACTCAAAAAACGAAAGTTAACCGAAATGCTTGCGGCTTTTTATTTTTGAGAAAATAGCAATATATTTTGTACATCACGCAACATAATTGCTTGACAGCATTAGACAGAGGGGAGCATCTCAAATGACGAGAGGATGTAAGAGAAGTGGCGCGGGAACCACGCCACATACCATCTTGTTGCTCAGAATTTTTACGGGAACAGGCACCATGCGTTCGGGGCTATTTTTTGAAAATTGTGAATTGAGACGTTGAGCCACGAAAGTCAAGTATATTTCGGAAAATATGCTGTATTAAGAAGAATTAAAACAAGTTTATGAAACTTTGTACTAAAAATTGAACTTTAGATATTCAAAATTGTATTCGTCCACCTTTCAATAGAAAGCTCTTGGAGTTTTTAATACATTTCAATGTTTTTGATTACGATTTTTTTTTAGATTGTGTCTATTTATTTAATTTTGAAAAGAGTGCCCTATTTGCGAAAGAAATAGAGAGAGGGATTAACAGTTTGAAATTAACAATTTGAAAAGAGAGATCGCAAATTTTGATCGAAACATATCGAGCTTTAATGGTGTCTGATGATGTTTTGACACATACTAAACTGATGTTAGCAAATAGAAATTCTCAATTTTATTAGATTTTTATTTAATTATATTGAAAACTTTCAATTATATTGGTTTTATATTTAATATTTTGATTCTTCTATAACTATTAATTTAAGTTTCTTCTAAAATGTTGCGACAGCGACATTTTGTATCTTATGTATTTTTCAAAATATCGCTGTCGCAACATTTTAGAAGAAACTTAAATTAATAGTTATAGAAGAATCAAAATATTAAATATAAAACCAGCAATTAAAATAGAACACTGTATAATTATATATGATTATAGATATCTTACTTACAAATTTGCGCAGAAAAATAATTATTAATAGAGGCAAAATGTTCAAAAAGCATTATATATTTATAATTCTATAAAGAAGTAAATATAGTTTATTTACTCTATAGAAGTAAATATGCTTAAAAATAAGTATTATTTATATTTCACAAAACAAATTTTAATAGCATTTAATTTAATGCAACTTGAACATATGAACACTTGAAAAATGTAATAATTTAAAACATTGATATGTTGCATAATAGCTAACATTAGTTCGAAATGAGGGTAATACATTTTAATCACAGTACAGTCTATTTTTTCCGAAATTATTAATGATATTGGTTTTCTTTACCAAATTTTATATACAAAATAATTAGAAGAATCATACTATGTAAAAATCATATAATTCCATTTAAAAAGTGACTCCCATATCTTTTTGTCTAGAAAAAAAAATAACGTAATCAAAATACATTCCTCGTTCCACTTTCATCTGACAATGAAATATTTTTTTGTACTATTAATAATTTCAAAGAAAATTGATTGTATTGATTAAAATACACTATACTATAAGGGGACTAGCCTGTATTTGTAATAACTTCAAATTATTCACTAGATATTTCTTCTAAAAATAGATTGGGATAGAATCTCAGAGCTTCTATCGAATCGTCCCTACAGGCTTTGCCATACTTCTCCGTAACCAGCAATCGTTCACGTGCTAATAACATTGATATTCCTTCTGATTGTGCAAGATCCTCGGCCGTCATAAATTTTTTTTCTTTTAACTAAGAATTTGATAAGAGATACAATGAAAAAGTTAAATAACGTTTATTATATATAGATTTATCATGTTATTCAGTGCTTACCAATTCTGTTATACGATCAACGACAGCATTATCATTGTGAGAACAAATTTGAAGAACCATAACACCGCTATCAAAACTTCTTAACACAATCGGTAAACCTAAAGGCGCCAATTGTCTACTGGCATGTAATAAATCTTCAGGAGATAAAAGTTCCAAACCTCTCGCTCTGTTTACACGACAATAAACATCTGTGAGTGTCATCATGCCACCTACTTCCTGAAATTAGATATATTTAAAATATTTTTAATTATTCTTTACATTCGGTAAGTATATAAACTGCTAACCTTTATTGGCTCTTCCAAAATACATGCAAGTTGTTTTGCTAATTGTTTAAAGTACTCATTGCTACTCTTGTACGCATCTCTTGTTACTGGATCGTCGATTCCTAAACTCATTAAGTAAGCCTTAAACCTGACAGTTTCATCCTCGGTTATATCTCCTTGTCTTGCCTGCAATAAAATTCTGCATTAAGAATCTTAATCCATCAATTTTGAGAAAAAATGATTACTAATTACCCTTATTTTAACTGAAATGGTCTTTGAGATAGCCACCATGTCTTTAGCCATATCCATAAGTTTTGTAAGATCTTGAAATGCCAATGATATATTTTCGTCAGTTTCTTTCTGCTTTTCTTGTAGGCTTCTCTCAATGCCTATAATACCCGTTCGCGTTTTTATATGAGGTAATAGTTTTGTATTTTTCTGATTATCATTCACATTGGATACAATTAATTCAGCTTCAGGTGTAAACTCCCATGTCCGTCTCATAATTGTATCAGACAATTGTATTATAAAATTTGGGTTTAGACCTTCTTTAAATGATAATTTAACATAATTATACAAACTATTATCCGCTGGACCAGGCATCTTATCTAAAAATATGTAAATCGCTACAGTCAAATAATTTATAAAATAATTTCCATTCACAACATATACACTCAAACACACACACACACACACACACACACACACACACACACACACAAAATTTCATTTATATTATAGTTAAAGTTTCATTTATATTATAGTTAAAGTTTTACCAATAGCAGGTTCAGAGAGATGCAACACAATCTTTTTACTACGCCCAAAGGAAAATGGTCTAGGATTTTCTTCTTCGAAGAAAATGATATGTCTAAGTGACAATGACAAACAGGTATTACCTCGTTGTACATCACCAGGTCTACTCCAAAGTATTCTGTGACTAGTTAGAATTAATTCCCCATTTTCAAAATTTGTCTATCAAAATAAAAGTTATTTTAATATTAATATTTTTACATACATGACTTAAACTTAGAATAATTAATTTATCCTGATAAGCAAAATATTAGCAGAAAATATTGCCAGATTTGACAATAGATTTGATTACAGAACATTTTAGCAGATTGACATTAATTGTTTGCATTTAACTTATGTTCTACTGATAGTCTCATGTAATTAGATTAGCAGCAAAAATCAAGTGGAACCTGCTAATTGATAGATTGATAGCAGAAACTAAGTAGATCTGCACAGTGCAATCTAATGACAGCAGAAATTAAGCAGACTGTTACTTTGTAGTTATGGATGTTTTCCAACAATGTACATGGATAACAGTGTAACACTATATTTTACACAAAGTATTTCAACTATGAGCTGTTACACTGTTCAAAGTATAAAAGCACAATATAAAAGCTAAATACAAGCACGTAAAACATATTAGTGTTAACTAATTAACTTTTCAAAAAGTTATTTGGTAGTCATGTTTATCTTGTAATAAATATCAATTTTGAAAAATTTATATAAATTTACATCATCAATCTATTATTGATATACCAGTAAGAATATACTAGTAAAATAAAAATAAGAATCAAATATTACAATGCATTCTGATGTATTACTATGAAATTAAACTGTATTCCAATATGTATCTTACATAGTGAAACACAGTATATGTCTGTGTCCTTGCTGGAAAACACTCTTATATCTATAAATCATATTATTGGTATTGAGAAATCCTTAAAAATAATGTTATTATTTTAAATAATTGTAAACTATTTTATTAATAGAAATTGATATATTTTACATTAAAGTATTAGATTTGAAAATTTGCTTTTTAGCAAACAAGCGATACTATGTTCAATTCCAGGTTTTCCAACTATGGGCATTTTCCAGTAAGATAATATTTGCTAATGTGAAACAAGAATGAAATGATTTATTGTATTACAGTATTCTTGTTAGAAAAGACTTAATAATAATTATCATTTTATAGTAATATTCATTAGCCATACAAAAATACAATCATGTCTTGTACTATTTGTAAATGCACATACAATGCAAAAATAATTATGACATTTTTCAAGCTTCTATTATATTATATATAGACTTTGGTTATATAAAAACTTGACAAATTTTATATGCGAGCAGATACCACTAAGGGATAATCTTGCAAGTATTCCAGTGACAGATCAGATTCTCAATTTCTCAATTTCTCAATTTCTGCTGCAAATCTGCCATCAGGTTATCAGTAGATTCTATTTTTGCTGGTACAGAACGTCAACACATTCTGTCCAATTTCTAGTGGCATTGCTGACATTGTTATGCATTGTATAGATTTCGTATGAAATTTATTTCCCTTCTGCTATCAAAAATTGATAGCAGACTTAAAGTCTGATCCTGTAAGTTTAGCTATCTCGAATGAAATCTAAACGTACATTTTCCTCAAATTATTATGCGAAATCGATCATTTCATCTGCAATAGTTTTTACAGTTACTATTATTATTATATTTACAGTTATTACCTTTATTTTTACAGTTACTATTTATATTTATAGTTATTATTACCTTTGTATCACCATCATAGAGACGCACAACCATATCGCATCTCACATAAATTTCGTTTGGCATAAAGCGAGAATCAGCATACTCGAATCTATTCATCGTTGCTTATCGTGAACAATCGCGAACGACGCGAATCGTTAAACATTATCAAAGTGGAGAATCATAACAGAGAGAAACCTAAGAGCGGCCATTGCGGCCTTTTTATGTGACGCTCTTTACACTAGCGACACCAACATCAATTTTATTAGAATAATGCGAATTACGTATCATGGTATCGACACTGTTGATAATTCGTAGTATTGAAAAATTAATGTAGTGCGAGTAC